GTGTGTGTGTGGGGTAGGGGTTGGGGGCGAGTTCTGCTAGGTGCAGTTTATAGCTTGCCTGATTATTTTTGGGATACTCGTTATCAGAAGGACACTCTGCGCTGGGATTTCTCATTCATTGCATCCAACCTGATTCTCATCAATTAGGCAGTGATGATTCTATTCTTGTTCTCGTATGTGCAGGCTGACTTGATGGGAAGGCTGCGATCCGTCAAGCACTATTTTCTTCTGGAAAAGGTGAGAGAGCCCATACATCAGTGATTGCCCCAACTCCGGATCCAGAGATCCCCGTTGATCTTCTTTTCTTTATGTTTTCCTTTCATTGTTCTGTGTTTACTTTGCTCCCTGGACATGTATGGTATTCAGGCAGAAGAGGACATGCCATGTCTTCTTCATCGTGTTTGCAGCGATGAGCATGGTTTTTTTTATCCACATATCTCCTGAAAAAGAAGTGAACGGCACTGCCGCGGAATATGTGAGGCAAGGTATATCATCCACCTCGATAGTTAGGCCGTGTGGATGAATGGTACACACATGTAGCTGTTGTTAGTGAACAGAGCACGAGTTCGGATCCTGATGGAATCAGATGAACACAATAAGTCAAGGGCTACGTCAGGATTGGGACCAAATACGAAGTTCCTTGGTGATGCTGAAAAAGGTAACTTGGTGCTGTTTACAGTTTGGAACGCTCTGCGGTGAAGCTGCTGGGAAAGTGGAGCTCTGAGTTTGGGACGCGGTCAGTAGCAGGTGAAAGGGGCCAGGTGCTAGAGTGAGAGGTATGAAGCACAGGGGGGGAGAATTGTATAGAAGATCACTTGGATGAATCATGGGGGGGGGGGGTCGGGCAGGCCGGGGGATTGTGGAGTGCACAAGATCTTAGGATGAATGATGGGGAAATGAGGGGAATGAGGGGATGGGTGCACACCATACCTTAGGTGGCTAAGCTTCACACCAGGCCATTATTTCACTCAGGGTAGAGATTTAAGTTTAACAGAAAGTTGCAAAGGTGGATCCCATCGACAGTAATAATGTTTGCAGACGATCTCACGGTCCTCATAAGAGCTTCAGACTCGTCGTTCAGCGCGTTAGTAAGAGCAATGGAAGCGTTCAGACTGGCATCAGAAATGAAAATTAATTGGAAGAAGACAATAGGCTGGTAGCTATCGGAGGAGGAAGTTCCCCAGCTTGAAGGCGATCGGGTAGCACATTCACATCATTGCTGGGCCGAGCACTAGCCATTAACACATCTATTTTTTCAATGATGTGGTATATAGCGTCAATCTGGACAGTTCCGGACCATACAATCAAGGAAATTAACCGCAAAGCAAGAGCGTACTTGTGGTTGAGAGACCCCAACAAAGAGATCTGTATACCAAAGATAGCCTGGCATTACATCACAAGGAAACCTGCCAGAGGAGGCCTTGGTATTATAGACCCCAAACAGGAAACCAAAGCTCTACAAGTTAAATGGATAGTCAAACTACTGACTAAACCTGGTACAACATCGAATAAACTGGCATTGGATAGCATAACGGGCCTAGCACCGACAGCCTCACCAGCAAACATGTCTGGTCTGCTCTGGGTAATGACCAGGGAATGGAGTCCAAGTACAGGGCACAGAAATCAACAAAGAGGAAGCGGTCCAAACGAAGCCAGGCCTCCCACACCATACTGGACTGCATTGCTACGGATATGGTGGGAAGTCATGCCGAAGAAGGTGGGTAGACCCAAATCCAAGGACGAGATCTTGAGGCAACCCCTGTTTGGTCATCCGTGGGCGAGAGACAAAAGTGATCACCAGCTATCCCTTAACCCTAGAGGAAGGAGATGGCTATCGTGGATCAAACACGGAGTTTGGAAAGTGAGCCATCTTTGGAACGAGGAGAAAAAGGACTGGGTGACAGAACAAGAACTTGCCTCCCAGCTCAAAGAATGTCACCGACGAGACGAGACGAGAGTCTACAATCCATTATTAACTGCATCCCTGAAGGCTGGAAGTAGATGTTGAGCGAAGCCTCAACCTGGAAATCAGGTGAATGGGGAGTAAGGGTGCAGGATCTAACCCCCTCAAGGGCCTATCAATTTTCCCACAAACAGCAAGGGTCAGATACCCTGGCTGTGTTTACCTCTTTCCCAATTACCACCTCCACGCAAGGCCTCCCGTCTATCCTGAATAAGGGGGTGGAAAGAACAGTCGTGAGAACAGTAAGAGTGTTCGGATCATGGCCAAAAACAATCTTCAGAATAGATACAGCGATTCAAGACCTGGAATTTGATCCAGCAGAGTGGGCGTGGACATCAGACAGAAGCAGAAGTATCAAACCGAATGTACCCATCCAGGAATACGCAGTTAGACTGGGATACAACTTACTCCTCAAAACAAAGGATCATGAGTCCTGATGCAACGATTAAGAACAGATGGCAGAAGTTTCAGGACGCTAGTCAGGTCCCACAAATACCATGAAAATGCCAAATCAATCTGTCCGGTCAAAAGCAGAAGCCTCCAATGGCTCATCTCATACGTGGCTCTACCGGTTAACCAGTGGCTGCATATCAGAAGAAGTAAGGAACCCAACAGTTCAGATTTATGTGCGGTATGCTCAGAAAATGAACCAGAAGATATGCTACATTGCCTGATACGCTGTAGGGAGGCGACGGAATATTGGGCGGAAGCCTCAGATCTTTGGGACTCCCTCTTCTCGACTCCCCTACCTGAACACCCCATCCATCTCCTCCTATGGACTAACACCCCAGCTCAATTCCACAAGACGATCATCAGAAAGGTAACGCTGTGGTCCATCTGGAAGGAAAGGTGCTGCAGAACCATTGAGGGACTCTCAACTTCAACGGAGAAGGTATATGGGCGGAGACAAGGACCTTGATTCAGGCAGAGATTCTTTTGTAAGTGCAACAGCGAAGAATCAAGGCAAAATTCACTAAGGTGTGGCTCGCAGGGGGCAAAGTCGAAGAGATAAATGACTTTCACATACAGTGGAAAGACTGGCACAACTGAGAAGCAGGGTGGAGAAGACAGGAATCCCAGCCAGCAGATAGACAAGACCCATCACAGGCCACGTAATGTTCAAGGGCAAATTCTGAGATTGCAACTTCCTTAGCTTCTTTTACCTTTCTTGCTCTTTATCATTTATAGGACAGGCTCACACAGTGGACCTGAGAGGAAAGGTGGAAGTAAGGCAAGCTGAAAGTCAATCCTCCACGATGCTGGAATAATCAATGCTGGTCAGGGTTCCTTTTCTCGGCCTTTTGGCTAAGATCAAGTGTAGTATCTGTTCTGATCAGTTTAATATCTGATCCGTGGTCCATCGGACCACATTAAAAAAAAAAAGAAAAAAAAAAGGAACCGGACTGATGCTCCCCAGAATGGAAATGGAGCCAGGGCGATAAGGACCTGTGTTATGTTTAAAACAAACAAACAAACAAACAAAGGTGGATCCCATGTCCTTCGGGACACATCCATTAAAATTGGAATATTACAGAAAAGATCAGCATGGCCCCTGTGAAAGGGGGAACAAAAACACTACAGCAAACAGAAGTAGAAAAAACAAGGGGAAAAAAAAAACAAAGAAAAAGGGCCAGCGGCCTAGCTCAGTTGGTAGAGCACCTAAGTGGCATTCAGGAGGTCGTGGGTCTGATTCCCCACCTCATCCATTCGACCCCCATGGCCCCCTGCAGCTCACTTTTGGATCACCAGCTGAGATAGGTGGTTTGCCCCTCGGGTTGATCTTGGCAGGATACGTAAATGGCCCTGTCATCCTTCAATAGGGTTATGAGCCTGGGTACTTCCCCCTGTACAGAGTAGAGCGGGACTTACCCGGAGGGAGGGGCACGGGGAGCTGGGAACCCGTAACTCTCAGCGTCCATCTTATACAAACAATACAACAACAGAACTCCTGGGTGCTTGGCTGGCAGCTAGCGTGTGGCTGTTTCAATATTGAGAGAAGAGAACAGCGTAGGGCATAAAGCTATGCCCCCGCATGAGGTGCAGACAGCTTTTCTTTTTTTTTTTTCTTTTTTTTTAAAAACGATGGGGTGCATTCCAAAGCTCCCAAGCACCCTTTATTATTGGGCATCAGTCCAGGTGACTTCAGGATGCATACTTATCAGCATGGATACTTGACTGAGATTGCTCATCGTACACATGACATGGAGGAATAGAAAACAGACAAAGACAGAAGGGGTTGGTTACACATTTTTTTGACATACTGTGACTGACTCATCAGGAGGCTGAACCATCGATGGTCTGCCGAATCCCCATATTGATGCTAGAGTCATAATCTACTTCAGTTCCTGTTGCGAGCAGACAACAATGCAGGGAACAACACAAGTGACAAGGGAAAGGAGGCAGCAGTGAGCAGGGGCACGGGCAAGGGAGGCAAGCAGGCAGGTAGGCAAGCATGATGCAAGGCTAGTGAACAGGCACCAAGCAGCTGGAGCGAACCGACAGGGCAGTCCACAGATATGGATAGAGTCCGATAAATCACTTGCTGACATTAGAAATAGAACTTTACTGTGGGTTCATGCCACGATCAGGAGTCAAGGCGTCATTTTGATGGAAGTCTGCCGGCACCAGCGAACACAGAGACATGGGCATCCCCAACATAGCAGCCCCTCAATAGTGTTGTAGGCACTTCGGACAAACAGACACTGACTATTGGCCACATCTCAAAGGTGCTGCACGTGACCAATGATGGGAAGACAGGAACGGGCCACAGTAGACAAAAATGGACAACCTAAAGAAAATAGTTGAAAGAAGGATAGGAAGAAAAGGACTCGTGGATAATATGGTATCGTGTGTGTGTGCATGTGTCGGTGTGTGTCTCTGTGTGTGTGTGTGTGTGTGTGTGTGTGTGTGTGTGTGTGTGTGTGTGTGTGTTTTGTCGTTTGTTTGTGTGTGTGAGAGTGAGAGATTCGCAGGGGGACTTTCTTGTTCACTTCATGGATATAGCACGTGAAGAATTGACCAAGCGACCGGCCTTGATATCCTTAGAAAAGCTTCAGGTGCAGTATTCCTGGTGAGGTTTTCAGGCAACCCCCTAACTTGAAACCTTTGCTGGCACAGTGAGTGGAAGGCTGTGTGGTTTTGATGTGAGCTAGGTACAGTGTAGGAGTGTGTTTCACAGGGACTTAGATGTTTCTGCAGTATTGAGAACATGAAACATACCAGAAGACATGCCGAAGTTTGGCCGTTTTGGAGAGGTGCTTCGTTAAATCCTACGTAAATCACTGAATCCTCATCAAAGGGCAGAGCTTTGCCGCAGCAGCCCTGCTTTTTGCTCTGTGGAGTTGCGTTTGATAAACACAACTGACTCATACAGACACAGCGCGCGCGCGCAAGAGGGAGAGAGAGAGAGAGAGAGAGAGAGAGAGAGAGAGAGAGAGAGAGAGAGAGAGAGAGAGAGAGAGAGAGAGAGAG